AGTTGCATCTTAAAAGGGTCATACATGGATGGGGTATGAATGGAGGGAGGACAATTCCCAGTCTCAGGAAGGAAGGGGGCCTATGAGCAAGTTGTCGGAGGAAGAGGTAAACTATAAAAGCATTGTTCTCATTGTGCACTGCGCTGTTCCAAGGTGTTCTGCCTTATGCATGTAATATGTTGACAGCCTTGCGTGCAGTATGCTTAATAAATATTGCTGGTTTGTGTTCTTCAATCTATTTTGGGATGTTTTATGAAAGATCTAACCCCCCTCTAAAGCTTCCATGGCAGGCTGCCTTCCAGTCTTGTGTATATCCTGAAAAATACGAATCAAAATAGTAAAACTAGAGCAGAACAGAGCAAAGTGGTGTTAATGCACTGAAGGTCCAGAGCTATTTTACATTTGAGAAGCCTTGCAGAACAAACATGTTGTTGTTGTTCTTGCTGCATTGCATTTATACCTACCTTTTGTTCCTGTTCTGAGGAAGCCAATTGGCTTGTGTCACTCTATATTTTATATATTGCCCCAAATCCTACAACAATGGGGCCAACTGTAATTGCTGCACCTGACACCTAGGTAAGAAAACTCAGAAGCTGCTTCCAATGGCCTTCTTCTGCATTGTGAGTACCAGGTGAAACAAGGAAAGGCAGTTGAAGGGACTGAAAAACAGCTCCCACACATGGTATGACCCTTGCCCTGTGCCTGGAAAATGCTGGGTATTTAGGGAGGGTAGGTTCACTTTGGCTCTCCTGAAAATGGCTCCCACCTTTTCTCTGTCACTTTCCTCTGAATCATTCTAAGGTTCTCCTTTTCAGTTTCAAATACCAACCAGAGGACAGATTAAACTTCGTTTAAATTTTACAGTATCTATAATAAAAAAGGTAAAGGTTTCCCCTTGACATTAAGTCCAGTCATGCCTGACTCTAGGGGGTGGTGCTCATCTCCGTTTCCTAGCCGAGGGAGCCAGCGTTTGTCCGCAGACAGTCTCCGTGGTCATGTGGCCAGCATGACTAAACACCGAAGTGCATGGAATGCTGTTACCTGCCCACCAAAGTGGTACCTTTTTATCTACCTGCATTTGCATGCTTTCGAACTGCAAGGTTGGCAGGACCTGGGCTCACCCTGTTGTGCAGATTTGAACCGGCGACCTTTCGATCAACCAGCCCAGCAGCACAGCGGTTTAAACCACTGTGCCACCTGCAGTCCCATCTATAATATAGTCACATAATTAATATTGACAAAAACAGTTAAAGTAATTATTTATTAAAAGGTCTGTTTCTGTGCTATTAAAACCTACCAATCCCTTAATCTGTGTGATCAGACCCTTGGAAATACTTCAAGGATGGATTCCAAATTCGAACATAAACACCTTTCTTTACTTCCCCTGTAGCCCAATGGAAACAGGTGGTCAGCTTTTCTATCAATGCCACTGTCCATTTCCTATCAAGGTATTTTCTAATCTTACAATCTCAGCTCTTACAGCTCCCGGAAATATTGCCAACCATTCTTTCCACTTCAGTCCTTCATCTTTCCCAGGAAACAATGACAAAAGGAGGAGCGTTTCATCAGGGATTAATGCATGTGGTGTTAGTTTAGTCAACCACTCTATTTCTTCATGCCAAGAAGGATTGGATTTTTTGACAGAATAGGCACATATGCTCACGTGTATTATTGTTGTTGTTATTATTATTATTATTATTATTATAACATTTCTATGCCGCCCCATGCCGAAACCTCAGGGCGGCTTACAACACAATAAAATACATTGAAATACAATAGAACATAATAAATTACCATTAAATAAACAAGTGCATATTTATTTATTTAAAATATTTGTATTTCATCCTTTACTATTGTGTCTCAGGATAGCTTACATAATTAAAAGCACACCAAAAACAATCAATAGAACAATAAATAAAGTTATCAAAACCAAAAAACAGCTAAATTCAATCAAACCAATATAATAAAAGTGATTGTAAATGATAATAATACTAATTTTTAAAATAACTGTTAAATAAAAAGGTTTTAACCTGGCACCAAAAAGTGCATAGCTAGTAGCTGGGAAACCAACTCTGTGCCAACCAGGCCTTCACTTTAGGTGCGTGCTAAAAGCTTTCCTATTCACTGACAGGTTCCCCTCTTGTTTTCTGACAAGGTGCTGAGAATGCATTTACAGCCTGCGTTTTTTCCTCTGGTGAAGAACCAAGGGTGCTTTATGCTGCTCCATTTTGTGCTCACAACACCAGCCCTGTGAGGTAGGTCGGGCACGAGCGAGGGACTGGCCCACAGCCACCCGGGGAGCCCCATGGCTGAGAGGGGAGCGGAACCCAAATCTCCCGGGCCCTCAGTCCCACAGGCTGACCACCGGAGATGTGGGACGCCTATTTCCGCCCCACTGGAAATTATGGCAGGGAAATATGCCCTAAAAGCGAGAAGGGAGCGCGGCCCGCAGGCCACGCTGCTGTGGGTCACATGCAGGGGAGACCCATTGAAGGGCCGCACCGCAAAGTGCCCTGTCCTGACAGCCCCGCTCAGGGCGGGAAAGGCGAGGCGGCAGCTTCCTTCGTGGAATCGCCGCGTCACGTACCGCGGGGCGGCTTTAAATGCCACCAGCATCGAACAGGTCAATTCAGAGGAGGCCGCGAACCTTGAAGAGGGTTGGAGGGTCCCGCCTCCACCAGTCAGTCCGAGGCGCCCAATATAGGAAATGAGAGGGAAGGGTTAAGGCGAGAGAGAGCCGCCTTCCTAGAGGGGCTGGAGAGCGTCTTGGTTCCCAAGACGACCTGGCCGCGCTCCCAGCAACCTGCGCGCCCAATGCGCAGGCGCGGCTTCCAGCATCGGGGTGGGAGGAGGGGGTCCCTGGCGTGGCCCCAGGAAGGCGCGCGCTCAAAGGGTCCCGGGTAGGGGAGCCGCTCCGCGCAGGTGAGAGGGAGACCCCTTGCGGCTGCCCAAGGGAGACCCTCGCCTTGCGCCCCCCCACGGGAATCCTGACCAGGGGTGGGGTGGCAGTAAAACGGTACGGCGGTCCTGGAGGGGAGATCAGTGGGGATTCCTGTGCCTGCCTCCAGCCGGCTTGGCAGAGGAGCTGGCAAGCCTTGCTTCCCTCCCGGGAAGGCGGCGACACATCAGGCGGTTTAGTGGGAGGAAGGAGAGAGAGGTTAGAGGCGTTCAGAAGTAAGTCCGCTACAGAGAAGGGGGTGGCGGCCTTTTTGTCCCATTTCTACGACACTCGGACCCGAGGCCGAGCCATGAGCCGGATGGGTGGGAGATGCAGAGCAGACCACCTTCTCCCAGTGCTTCGTTGGCCTATGGAATTCCCTGCCACGGGAAGTGGCGCTTTGTTTTAGAGCGCATTGCTCCCCCGCGTAATAATTCTGCTGGAGATCTTTGTCCTATGGCATGTTGTGTTGCTCCATAGACTTGCAGAAGGTCAGTAGTCAAAGGAATCCAGGCCTTCTCCCCCAGTTTGGATGTCTTTGAGGTTTCTATTAAATGATATTCCACATGCAAGTGCATGGGCGCTGATTCCATCAGGACCTGGCAGGTGGAAATGCATGAGGGTCCCTGAAAAGTGGGTGCAGCAAAGGTGCCTGGGAGGAGGAAACCCTTATGGACAGGAGGGGGAGGCCAGCCCCACCAGCACCATACAATCCCAAGGTTGGTGCTCCTGAGGGGACCCTATAGAAGACCATTGTCTTGCTCCTTCACAGGGGAATCCTGACTTAGGGAAAGTGGGGAAACAATCTGTGAGACTTTGCAGGGGAAATGCCTGGGTGTGCTGCACGTCCGGTTCTTGCTTCAAGAGGACTTAGCAAGTGACCCAGCCCTGCGTTCTTCTGAGGAAGCTGGCCACAAGCCAGATGGATTAGTTGCTGCAAAGGAAGCCAGGATGGCGGTGTTCAAGATGATGCCTCTGCTGGAGAAATGGGGAGGGAGACCTTTCCCTCCTTTCCTTTAGTCTAGAACCCAAAGGAGTCATCACAGGAAATGATGAGTGTGAGACTCGGGACAGATCTAAGATCTAGCACACCATACCTATGATGGCAAACCAGTTTCCTCAAGGATCCCTCAAGCAGGATGGGTGCAAGACCTCCTCCTGCCCAGGCTCCTCAGCAACTGCTGTGTGCAAGCATGGCCAGTCTGGTCACAGAGGCAGTGCTCAGCCAGCTGGGCGAACAGCCACCAATGGCCTCCTCCATCCTGAATCTGTCCAGTCCCCTGGCTAAACCATCCAGAGTGGTGGCCAGCAGGATTTCCAGTGGCAGCCAATTCCATATTTCATTGATTTGTTGTGCCAAGAAGTACTTCTGAAACCTCCCACTAATCAGCTTCATGGATGACCCTGGGATCAACTGTCATGAGAGAGGAAGAAAATGTCTCTCTCTCTACTTTCCCCTCTTCATGCATTATTTTAAACAGCTCCCTCATGTCTCCCTTGCCTTTTTTTCTAAGATAAACAGTCTCAGTTGTTGTAGCCACTCCTCATCAGGAAGCTGCTTTAGTCCCCTGATTGTTTCTTTGTGAACCTTTGTCGATCTGAGGACACATCTTCCAGCGGATAGATAACCCATGGAATTCCCTGCCACAGAAAGTCATGAGTGGCAGCCCACAGTGTAGACACCTTTAACAGGAATGTGAGGAAATCAGGAACAGGGAGGCCAAGCATGGCTATGAGGCCTTGTGGCTCCTTGCTGGCCATACCCTCAGAGGCAGTATGCTGGACCGCACCACTTGGTGGGAACCGTGTATGGAAGGAGACTGTTGAACATGCGGGATCCATCTGAGCTTCTCATGGGCATAAAAGAGTAGAGTGCTGGGGGGTTGCTTGAAACGGACTGGGGTTAGCTGGCCACAGGCATATTTGTGCTTTCCTTCCTCCCTGCAGTCTTTCTCTCAACAAAGAGCTGACAACATAGCAAGAAGACCCTTCAAATCCTGATGCGACCAGAAATGGAGAACAGAGTGAAGCAAGGAGAACATGACTTGGTGGCCTGTGATGCAGGAAACGGCTCCCATGACAACCTGCAAGGGAGCGGTGCAGAGCTCTGGGAAAGAGGCATGAAGGTGGACGTGGGTGGGAGCAGCTCAGACGCAATATGTCAGCGCTTCAGTCAGTTGGACTACCTGGAGGCAGAGGGGCCCCGAGCAGTTTGCAGCCGCCTCCACCATCTCAGCCGTCAGTGGCTGCAGCCAGAAAGCCACACGAAGGCTCAGCTGCTGGACTGTGTGACCCTGGAGCAGTTCCTGACTATCCTTCCCCCATGGCTGGAGAGCTGGGTGAGGGAGTGCGGAGCGGAGACCAGTGCCCAGGCGGTGGCTCTGGCCGAAGGCGCCCTGCTGAGCCAGGCAGAGGAGGGGAAGCAGGAAGAGGAGCAGGTGAGTGTTTTCCCCTCCTGGGAACTCCAAGGGGCCACGACTTTAAAACTCCCTCCCAGTGGCCTGGTTTTGATGCATGTCCCCCATGGAAGGAATATCCCAATTTCCCATGCCTCCATGCCCCATGCAAGACCAGAATGTGTGGGGCAAGCTCTCTTTGTAGGATTCACCCACACTTCTGTGGCTATGTTCTGTTGCAGAAAAAGGGAAGTCTCCCTGGCTAAATATCAGTGAGTTGCAGACAATCAGCAACCATCTCAGAGCTTCTCCCTCTCTGCCGATTGGTTTCAGGTGGCTGTTTAGTCCTTTGCTTAGACCAGGGTTGAGCAAGAGTCCTAGTGCATAGATCTTTCTAGAATCCCTTGTTAAAGATGCTGCCTGGGGTGCTTGGAGGGCAGAAAACCCCTAGAAGCAGAGATGCAAGCCCACTGGGAAGTACCGCTTGACACTTGCCTCACCACCTTCTTCCCAATCCCTCCAACCCTTCCTTACTTGGGATCCGCATTGCTGTTCCAGAGTCAGCGAATATCGGACAAAGCAGCCACAGAGTTCCCTGCAGCAGGGAAGACTCCGTCGGATCCCACACAGGGACTGCTTTTCAGGGAAATCTTGCAGGAGGGTGCTGGAGGACCCACCTCATTGGGTAAGGAGTGGGGCCTATTTCAGCTGTGCTTCCCATTTGTGCTTTGCCCAATGCCTGACCTGCTTTAAGGTTCTCTTGAGCTTCATTTCTGGTGGGAGAAAACTGGTCGCTAGTAGCCTCTCTAAAACACTGAAAAAGTTGTTTTGTTTAGCAGTTTAGACAAACATTGATTCCACACAAGAAACTAAATGACAAAGTGTTCTTCCAGAACACAGTTTCTTCTCATCTCTCTTTCCTGTCTTTAGGAAATAGAATGACCTGCAGGGAGGATGAATTGATGCTGGCTGTTCCTTTGAGGCCTCCTTTGTTTTGTGGTGGAGTGCAGACACCATCCCTGCATGCAGAAAAGGTAGGAGAGGCCTGAGGGCCTTTGTCCCTCCCCCTAGACATGGTAGAATCATCCCCTTTGCCTTTGCTTCTGTCCCAGGAGGAAGATCGGAGGCTTCCGGAATCACTCACGGAGCTCCGGATCCTGCAGTCCCCACTGCTGTCTCTCTACACTGCACTTCCTCTTTTCCAGGGTGTGATGAGTCTTGAGGAGGTTGCGGTGCATTTCTTGGAGGACGAGTGGGCCCTGCTGGACCCTGGCCAGAGGGCTCTGCACCAGGAGGTCATGGAGGAGATCCTGGCTTCTCTGGGTGAGAAACGCAGCCCCTCCAGATGGGGCTACTTCTTTCCCTCAGTGATAGATCCTGGGTGGCAACATTCCAGGCTGAGCTTCTATGTAGGAGGCATTTGTGTGAATGTATTTCAGGTCAACTCTGCTATATCCACCTAAGGTGGAGATTTAAGATGCCTAATCATTTTTTTCAGGAGACACAAGAGAGCAGAATCTGTCAGCTTCAGGAGCCTGTTACAGGCAGCCTGGTCTCCTTTTCGTGGTAAAACTAGCACCACACATTTTTTTGAACCCACCACAAAAGTAGGTTCTGGTAAAACAGTGGCAGGAGCCACCAAGAATGCCATAAGAGTCTACCATGACTGTTGGCTTCAAAAGATGCAGAGACATTCAAAAGACTGATCAGAACTGAATGCATACGTTCCAATTCCTTGTTCACTAACCAGCCAGGAGAAAATGGCAGGTCTTATTATCAATTCTGGTTTTATTAGATCTTTATTGTCTTCCGTTACTGTTGGGGCACCAGTGGGATGCCTCTGAGAAAACACACCCATGCACAAGAATGGGCCTCCTCTCCAGACATTTTTGATCATGTTGACCAAATCAGCAACCCACTGGGTTTCTTCTGTCTACTGAAGAATATTTTTCTTTCTGTTCTTTTAGTGGATTGCAGGGGGAGCTACAGAAACAGTGTGCACCAAAGACAGGAGATCACAGACAAAGAAAACTGGAAAAATGAGTCCATTTCTTTTGAAATGTCAGAATTTTGTGATATTCCAATGGTACAAGCACCTTCCAAAGCAAGCAAAATTAATATTTGCAATGGGGAGAGACAGTGGGAACGCTTCGAGGACATAAGGAGGCATCAGATCCACCATTCCAGTAAACAAGAAATTCACAAATGGGGGAAGACCTTCGGGTGCTCCAAGTCTGCAAAGGAATTCAGTTGCAGGTCAGACCTTAACAAAGAAAAAGGAATTCATACAGGGGATAAGCCTTATAAATGCTTAGAGTGTGGAAAGAGCTTTGCTCGGAACTCACACCTTAACTCGCATAAAATAATTCACACAGGAGAGAAGCCCTTTCAGTGTTCAGTGTGTGGAAAGAGCTTTTCTCGGAACTCACACCTTAACTCACATAAAGTAATTCACACAGGAGAGAAGCCTTTTCAATGCTCAGTGTGTGGAAAGGGTTTTGGTCGTAAACAAACCTTGAAGGTACATCAGAATATCCACACAGGGGAGAAGCCCTATACTTGCTCTGAATGTGGGAAGAGCTTCCTTGATCACATACACCTTAAACGGCATCAAAGAATTCACACAGGGGAGAAGCTGTACAAATGCTTTGACTGTGGAAAGGCCTTTATGGAAAGTGGGTCCCTTCAAACCCATCAAAAAATCCATACAGGGGAGAAGCCATATAAATGCTCAGAATGTGGGAAAAGCTTTGCTCGGAACTCACATCTTAACTCACATAAAGTGATTCACACAGAAGAGAAGCCCTATCATTGCTCAGTGTGCGGAAGGGGCTTTAGTGGAAGCGGGAACCTTAGAAACCATCTCAGAATCCACACAGGAGAGAAGCCCTTTCAGTGCTCCGTGTGTGGGAAGAGTTTCCGTCAAAATGGAACCCTTAAAGTCCATCAGAATATTCACAAAGGAGGGAAGCCCTACATCTGCTCTCAGTGTGGGAAGAGCTTCCTCGATTGTGGAAGGCTTAAACAACATCAAAAAATCCACACAGGGGAGAAGCCATTTAAATGCTCAGAATGTGGAAAGAGCTTTGCTCAGAAATCACACCTTAAGTCACATACAGTAATTCACACAGAGGAGAAACCGTATCAATGCCTGGAGTGTGGAAAGAGTTTCAGTCGTAGGATAAGCTTCAAGAAACATCAAAATATGCATACAGGGGAGAGGCCCTACCAATGCTTCAACTGTGGGAAGAGTTTTCGTATTAGCAGTCATCTTAGACAGCATAAAAGAATCCACACAGGAGAGAAGCCCTATGTATGTTTAAAGTGTGGAAAAAGCTTCAGCTGGAGTGCATCTCTTAAACTCCATCAAAGCATCCACACAGAGCAGAAGTCCTATAAATGCTCAGAGTGTGGAAAGAGCTTCACCTCACACTCTTATCTAAATGTGCATCAGCGCATTCACACTGGTGAGAAGCCATTTAAATGCTCAGAGTGTGGAAAAGGCTTCAGTTGGAGAAAATCTCTTAAAATCCATCAAAGAATCCACACAGGGGAGAATCCACACAAATGCTTAAAGTGTGGAAAGAGCTTCCGTCAGAGTTCAGTCCTTAAAGCTCATCAGAGAATCCACACAGGAGAGAAGCCCTTTCAGTGTTCAGTGTGTGGCAAAGGTTTCAGTCAAAACATACACCTTAAGTTACATCAGAATATCCACACGGGGGAAAAGCGCTATCGATGCTCAGTGTGTGGAAAGGGTTTCAGTCAAAACATAAACCTTAAGGTGCATCAGAATATCCACAAAGGGGAGAAACCCTACACTTGCTTGGGATGTGGGAAGAGTTTCCGAGACTGCAGAAAGCTTAAACAGCATCAAAGAATTCACACAGGGGAGAAACCATATACATGCTCAGAATGCGGTAGGAGCTTTGCTCAGAAATCATACCTTAACTCACATAAAGTAACTCACACAGGAGAGAAGCCCTTTCTGTGCTCAGTGTGTGGAAAGCGTTTCAGTCAAAATGGAAGCCTTAAGGTACATCAGAGAATCCACAAAGAAGTGAAACCCTACCCTTGCTCTGAATGTGGGAAGGGCTTCCTTGATGGCAGAAAGCTTAAACAGCATCAAAGAATTCACACAGGGGAGAAGCCATATGAATGCTCAGAATGTGGAAGGGGTTTTGCTCAGAAATCACACCTTAACTCACATAAAGTAATTCACACAGGAGAGAAGCCTTTTGAGTGCTCAGTGTGTGGCAAGAGTTTCAGCCGTAGGAAGAGCCTTAAAGCTCATGGAACTATCCATGGAAGCAAAAGGCCTTAGATATGCCTCCACTGTGTGGGAAAAGCTTCTCCCTCACTGTGAGCCTTAAAAACCATCTAAGATTACACAAGGAGAGGAGCCGTATGAATGCAGAGAGAGTAAAAATGGTTTCAATCCAAGTAGAAGCTGAAAATCACATCAGAGAATCCATACAGGAGAAATTTGAGTGTGTGAAATGAACTTCCATCAAAGCAATACATGAGATTTCAATAAAGATCCAGAAAATCTCTGCAATGACAATAAGGGAAAGACTTTCACTTCAAAGGATTAAAATTCAGTAGAAAAAACAGAAATACTTAGAAGACAGGATGTGACCAATTGTGGGGTGCACTCGTGCACTCAGATGAGATTCCCAGGCACGCACAGGAGATGGAGGGCTTGGGTGGGAATGGCAGCTCAGACTTGGAGGAGGGGGAGTAGATAGTTGAACCAGCGGTGGCGCAGAGTCCTCATTATATCGGAATAACTAGCGAGGCCCCGGCTGCCCAAACTCTCCTGGTGAGCCCTGCCTGAGCCAGCTTTGGATTGAAGTACTTCAAGGACAACCACTGAGCCCTCCTGATTGTGGGGAAGAAGCTGGCAGAGAATAGGCTGGGGAGTGGTTCTTGGGAGGAGAACTTGACATCCCAGGAGATGTGGATGCCCATCAATGTACCAGCCGGCTAGACCAATCGGGCTCAGTGGGAAGAACGTCGGCACTCCCGCTTCCATAGCGCGCCCCCCTCCAGAGACCAGCCCCGAAGGGTTCATAAGCAAAGCTTTGGGTGAGGGGGAGAGAGCAGGGAGTCAAATTTCCACCTGGTATGCATGTTTCGAGGTTTGTGAATATGTTGTTTCAGTATGGAATAAAGACTCTTCTAATAATTGCTGAAGTGCCTGTTTCGTTTGGGAGGGGACGCCTAGATCATGACACCAATACACCTTAACATGGAAGAGAATGGGAACTGCAGTGGAATTGTGAACTTGAGTGGGAGTCAAGTGCAACCTACAGTGCAAATGTTGAACCTAAGTCAGGACGAAGAAGCATTCCTAGATGCAGCATCTCACCTGCTGTTAGCATGGATGCCACCTTGGTCAATTGTGAACCAAGTGCCAGGGGGATCGATCTGGGAGAGCATGGACCTGATGAGGGTCCCTCCATAAGCCAGTGTGTCTCTCGATTGGGGGTCTTTCTCAAATTCTCAGAACACATTGTTTCTTCCTATTCTCCCAATTTTGTTCCAAGAGGTTTCCATTAAATGATACACTGTTGACTGGCTCATCTCTGTCTCTTCCTTGTGAATACTGATGAAGGAAAGGGCGGGGGGGGGGAATCCCAGACTCAGGAGAGAGGGTTCCTCCTTGTTTCCTGTGCATTGTGTGAAGTGTGAGTGTGCCTGGAGATCTGGGCAGCCTGCTCAAGCCCCGCACCCCCAGAACTGGGGGGCCACCATTGAAAAAGCCCTTCTCCTCTCCACAAACAGTCTCCTTCAAAGGTGACAATCAGAGGCTGGCCCCAGGTCTTGCTTATGCTGCCCAGGCAAATTGGGGTTGCCAGAGGCATTGAGGGGGGTCATGGTCCCAAGGCATTTAGGGCTTTGTGGGCAAAACCAGCATCTTAAATTGGGCTTGTAGCACTGCAGGAAGCCAGTGCAAGTGGGCCAGAAGTGGTCTAGGAATTGATTGTCTGATTATCATTATTGATTTGGTTACTGTATTTTGCACAAGGTGCAGCTTCTGACCCTGTTCAATGGCAGCTCCACATGCAGTGCCCAAACTCTGTCCAGGTGGGAGCATAGCTGAGCCATGGAAGCCACCTGGGCCTTAAGTGGCAATAATGTCTCAGGAAGAACCCAAAAGCTGCAAACCTCCGGTGTGAGTGATAGCCCCATCTAGAACAGCTTCCACTCCATCCAGGTAGGAGAACCATTCAACAGCATCTCAGTCTTGTCTGGACTGAGCTTCAGAAATTGTCACAGTGAAACTGCAGGCTGTTAAAAGAGACTCCATTCAAGCAGAATTTGCCCCTCCTTCGACTCTAAATGGAGGACTTGTGATGATGGATTGATTTTGTCCTCCCTCCACATTCCCCTTCCTGTCCATCTGCCCTTTACTTCCTTTCACACTTGTGAGTAGAGATGCAAAGGTCAGCCAGAAGCTGTTACTCTTGCGCTGGTTGGGTGACTTTCCAGCACTTGCCCCAGCCAGAAAGGTGGCCAAGTCAAGATCGGATGCGGGAACACTGGCAGCTTTTTGGTTCAAAGTGTGTTAGTCAATGCTCACACCATCTCGACTAGTCTTGGAAAGTGAGATGAGCTGAGAGGAAGCATGGAAGCGCTCGTGAATGAAGACTGCACAACTGGCCACCTTTCACGCAAGGTCCAACTGCATGTGGCAGGAAAGAGGAGTCCTGCCTGTGCAGTGCAGGGGCTCAATTACGGGCATGTGTCCCATGAATGCTGGTCCGGCTTGCCAGGGACTTGGACTCAGAACTGTGACAGAGGGGACCAGGGTCCTGGGAGCAGAGCTTGGGGGATGTGTTGGGTTCACACCACCAGTGTGGATCCCTCCCGCTCTGCACTCCACTCAACAGGGCCTGCCAAGACTTATTTGTGGCTTGTTCCCGGGGCTCTTCTGCTGCAACGAGAGTGAGAGGATGGAGAAAAGAGGCTCAGGTCCCATTTCCATCTGACACCAGCCCCAGGGGGATCTTGGGCAGGACATTAGCGGGGCTTCCTTTCACTCAGGGCACAGTGCAGCTGCAGCAGCCACCAACTCCACAGGCTACATAGTTTTTTCCCCCCATTTTCTCCTTTTTTACTTCTATGTTTCCCCTCTTTCAGGTCGACTCCTTCCTTCAAAATTGTATTGAATCATATGCTGGTTTACCCTTCCCTTCTATTAACACATATTCAATAAGTTATCCCCATTCATCATTAAAATCATTCTTATTCAGCAGCCGCTTTTCACCTTTATTCCACCATGAAGCTTATCATTAACAGCTATATTCCAAAATTTTATACCATTCAACTTCAGCAGCCCAACTGCCTTTTCCTTCTCTCTTAGCCATTTGCTATGAATGTTGAGCTGCTTATTGTTTTGTGCTCAGAAACTGACCAACTTTTTCTTTTCTGTGTTTTCTGATTTATTTATTTATTTTCCAATGTATATCCTGCCTTTTTCCTGCAAAGGGCTCAAGGCAGCTTACATCTCCTCCATCTTATCCCCACAATAATAACCCTGTGAGGTAGGTTGGACTGAGAGTCTGTGACTGGCCCAAAGTCACGCAGTTGGCTCCATGGCTGAGTGGGGACTAGAACCCAGATCATTTGAGTCCCAGTTCCATGCTCTTAACCACTACACCACACTGGCTCTCTGCCTGGATGCCTGATACCCTTTTTATTCAGTTTCCCTGCAGACTGAGGCTGTGTGCTTTGTGATAAAACCAGAGAGGCTTACCAGGGGGAACCCACAGATACAATTTAGTACTGGTCATGTAGACACAATTTAGCAGTCTTGATACAAACAAGCAGCTGAGGACAACCTGAAACTGGAGCTGTGCTCTCCGAGGGACACAGGAGGGCTGCTGGGAGGCCCAGTGCAAGACTTTCCAGCAAGGTCCTTCCTAAAACATTGCCAAGGGACCGTCAGAACAACCAGGGCTTGTTCTAGACTTGTGTGGTGACAGCCGGGCTCATTGGGCAGTAGTGATGCCAGAAAAAGTGTTTGTTTATTTATTTATTTATTTATTTATTTATTTATTTATTTATTTATTAAAACATTTTTATGCCGCCCCATTCGCCGAAGCCTCGGGGCGGCTTACAACAAAAAATTAAAATAACATTTTAAAATATATACAATAAAATACAAATATATAATATAAAACATACACTATAAAACAAGCCGCCCTGGCCAAATAAAATTCAATAATATTAACATTTAAAATACTGCTTAAATAAAAAGGTCTTCGCCTGGCGCCGAAAAACAAATAACGACGGCGCCAGGCGGACCTCTCTGGGGAGCGCATTCCATAACTTAGGCGCCACCGCTGAGAAAGCCCTCCTCCGAGTAACCACCCTCCTAACTTCTTCCATGGAGGGCTCCCGGAGAAGGGCCTCTCCCGCCGATCTCAGGGGGCGGCTGGGCATATAAGGATGTAAGCGCTCCTTCAGGTAACCAGGACCCAAGCCGTTTAGGGCTTTATAGGTCATAACCAACACCTTGAATTGGGCCCGGACTTCAATGGGAAGCCAGTGAAGCTGACGGAGAACTGGAGTCATGTGAACATAACGTCCAGTCCCCGTCAGCAGCCTGGCAGCTCTATTTTGGACCAATTGAAGTATCCGGACCGTCTTCAAGGGTAGCCCCACGTAGAGCGCGTTACAGAAGTCCAAACGGGAAGTCACCAACACATGTGTCACTGTCGCAAGGCAGTCATTCTCCAGATAGGGGCGCAGCTGATGAATTAGCCGAAGCTGGAGGAAAGCGCTCCTCGCCACTGCTGTTACCTGAGCTTCCAGTGAAAGCTCTGGGTCGAGGAGCACTCCCAAGCTGCGGACCTTGTCCCTAAGAGGGAGTGCAACCCCATTCAGGACAAGGTTCAATTCACCCTCTCCGAAGCCCGATCCACCAACCAACAGGACCTCCGTCTTGTCTGGATTGAGCTTCAGTTTATTGGCCCTCATCCAGCCCATTACCTCGGCCAGGCACCGGTTCAGCACAGCCACTGCCTCACCTGGATTGGTGGAAAACGAGAGGTAGAGCTGGGTATCATCAGCATACTGATGGTTCCGCAGCCCACACCTCCTGATGACCTCTCCCAGCGGTTTCATGTATATGTTGAACAGCAAAGGGGACAAAATGGACCCCTGCGGTACTCCATGGCATAGCTGCCATGGCGCAGAGCCATAGTCCCCCAGCACCACCTTCTGGAACCGGCCATTGAGATAGGAGCGGAACCACTGCAAAGCAGTGCCTCCAACCCCCAATCCCGCAAGCCTATCCAGAAGGATACCATGGTCGATGGTATCGAAAGCCGCTGAGAGGTCCAGCAGAACCAACAGGGACGCACTCCCCCTGTCCTTCTCCCTGCACAGGTCATCATACAGGGCGACCAAGGCAGATTCAGTACCGTACCCGGGTCTGAAGCCGGACTGCAATGGGTCCAGATAATCAGTTTCATCCAAGAGTGCTTGGAGTTGTCCCGCCACCACTCGTTCTAACACCTTGCCCAGAAACGGGATGTTGGCCACTGGTCTATAGTTAGTGGCCATCTCTGGATCCAGTTACGCTTTCTTCAGGACCGGTCGTATTACTGCCTCCTTTAAAGGGGCAGGCACTCAACCCTCCCTCAGAGAAGCGTTAACCACTTCCAAGATCCAGGTCCCAATCCCGTGCTTGGAGTTATTTATTAACCAAGACGGGCCAGGATCCAATAGG